ATATGAATACCTTCTACTCTATGCAGTTAAAAATAAGAAATGTGGTCATATCAGTATTTTTTTTTTTTGAGACAGGGTCTCACTTTGTCACCCAGGATGGAGTGTAGTGGCGTGACATTGGCTCACTGCAACCTCCTCCTCCGGGGCTCATGCAGTCCTCCCGCCTCAGCCTCCGAGAGTTAGGACTACAGGCACACACCACCACTGCCAGCTAATTTTTTTATTTTTAGCAGAGATGGGGTTTCAACATGTTGGCCAGGCTGTTCTCAAACTCTGGCCTCAAGTGATCTGCCTGCCTTGGCTTCCCAAAGTGCTGGGATTATAGGCATGTATTTACCAACACGAGTAGGTATTCATGCTATTCAGTTTTTACCCTTGAAAAGGGGGAGGAAGATATTTTTGGATTATTCTAAAATTAAATTTAAATTATATGATGCCTAGGACTTGCCACAAAATGACCTGGAGCTGTGTGGGTAGCTGGAAGGGGAGAGGGAGTGGGTACGTAAATAAAACAAGACTGGAAATTTTGGGAATTATCTATCTAAGACAGATCTGTGGGGGTTATTACATTCTTTGTTTCCATATATGCTTGCATTTTTTATGACAAGACTCATCTTTTTTAAAGCAGGAATTAAACCTCTCAAGCAAATGAGTGTGATTGTCACTTTAAAAATGCTTCTGGTATTAAAATCACTCCCATAGCAGCATAAAATAAGTCATTTTTAAAGCTGGTGTGGGATGAAGCTGTGATCCTGGGAAATGTAAAGCTGGTTTGCGTATGGATACACACGTGTGCTATGTTCATACCAGCGGCCCGGCTCGGGAACACATGCCAGCCAGTGAGCCGTGCCACCAGGGCCGCCTTCTCCCGCCGGCCAGGGCCGCCTCACCTCTCCTTACCTCTGGCCACTTTCCAGCCCCTGTTCTCACTCCAGCGGGGCCTGAATCCTCACTGCTTCTCCATGCCTATCCTGGCTCAGAACATCCCTTATCCGCTGGACTAAGTCTCCACCAAATCCTGGGAAAGCTGGGTGCCACACGCCGCCCTGTAAGCCCACTGATTGCAGAAGGCCGCCTTCTACAACGACGTAGCTCAAAACCTTCTCTTCTCTAAATAAAGTTGTATTTTACTTACATGCAAAATAAACACAAACGCAGTTTTCTGCCTTCAATCTTTCTCTCCTTTATTTCACAGAAGACACTTTGGTTCTCTTCCATACGGCTTTCACTCTGCATGCCTTCCCCGACAGATGAGAACGTGTACGTCTACTCACAGTTCCCAATGTTTGCTGTTCTGCGTCACCCTCGGAGGTGGAAATTACAGTGACTCACAGCCAGGGAAGCAGCAAGGTGGGGTGAGAGAGAGAATGAGAGGGAGGTTGAGCTTCAAAGAGGCCAGGTGACCTTTGTCCAAGCATGGCTGGCAAGTGACACAGAAAGGGGGCTCCAAACGTGGCCTCTCAAGCCTCAAGCTCCAGCGTTTCTGCTGTGCTTCATGAGACTGTGCTCTCAAGTGCAAAGCAGGCATCTGTTGACCACAAGTTTCCAAAATTTGGCAAAAGGATTTGAACACTCCAGAAATGGTGTGTATTTAGATATCCATTCCACCAATAAATTCGAGTATGACTTTTTTAATTTATCATGGTCATTAGTAGATAAAACCTTACTTGTTTACAATTACTATTAATTCTATAGGATTTAGTTCACATTACAATACCTGGTTGTCCAACTACCAGCACTAATAGATAACTAAGTAGTAAGTTTGGAGAAAAAAACTGTGAACAGAAAGTCTATTAAGAAGGAGATGTTGCTTTTTAAGTCACAACAAAAAATAATAAATGTCACCAGGTGTGGTGGCTCATGCCTGTAATCCCAGCACTTTGGGAGACTGAGGTGGGGAGATCACCTGAGGTCAGGAGTTCAAGACTAGCCTGGCCAACATGGCCAAACCCCATCTCTATTTAAAAAAAAAAAATACAAAAAGTAGCCAGGCGTGGTGGTGGGCACCTGTAATCCCAGGTATTCAGGAGGCTAAGGCAGGAGAGTCACTTGAACCTGGGAGGTGGAGGTTGCAGTGAGCTGAGATCACACCACTGCACTCCAGCCTGGGCAACAGAATAAGACTCCATCTCAATAAACATAATAATAAAATAATAAGCAATATTGTCACTTATTTTTGCCAGTGCAAATCTAGAAAACACGTGATGAGGGACAGTGCGTAGGACCTAGCCAAAAAGAGCTTGAACATGAAAGGAGACCTGCTAAGGCCAGAGGCACAGTTCAAACTTCCACAGGATGCAGAATCGGAAATGCTTCAGCCTCGCTGCCCCCTCCTCCCATCGTCAGCTCTGGAAAGGGCGGCGAGGGCCCTGTTTGGCGTCTCGGGTGAGGACTGCTCTTCTTTAACAGAGGCTGCTTGCCTCTCCCTATCTTCTCACCCCTTCTGCTCTGAGTCAGGCTTTGCTCCCCAGTGAAACACAGAAAGCAGGAAAGCAGGGAAAAGTGGAGCGAGTGGGAAGGGCGGAGAGGCAGCGCCAGAGCATGGATCCACCCGACGTGTCAGCCCGTCGGCACTTGGAAAACACGAGGGGTGTGCCAAACTTGGCAGCTTATAACACGGTATCTCAGAGACCTTCTAAGAAATAGATGCCACACCCCAAGACAAAAAGAATCCGCACCTTGCACAATGGACTTGTACCATTTCCTGATACAAATGACGCTCATTTCCCAAGCAAAATACGAGGCATCTCCAGTGCCTAGGATGCGAAATTATAAACCGACTCATTGCTCCACCAGAAACATGCCCTGCTCCCAGATTCTGCTCCCAGATTCCCTCATCTGCATCCTCCACACAGCATCTCCTACCCCTAATTCATCTGTGACTCCTGCAGCCACTGCTGACCAGTGCTGACCAGTGCCAAGCGGTGCTGAGCGGTGCTGGCCAGTGCTGACCAGCGCTGAGCGGTGGCCCCAGGGAGGCTGAGCTCTCCTCCTTCAAGTTGCACCTGGATTCTGTGCTCCAAAGGGAAAACTGTTCCTGGTGATTCCCAAGACCCAGTTCTTCCTGCATCTTGTGATTCCAGCTCACAGGTCCAGGCCTCTTCCTGGATGCCCCACTAGGTCTTGCTCCTGGTGGCCTCTCTCCCAGAGATGAATAGCCTGTCTTGACCCTTGTGGCCCAGGGCTGGGGCTGACACCCACAGCAGGCGCCCGATGCTAATGCCACCAACTTTCCCCCTCCTCTGCCAGGAACGCCTTGTCCTCCAGTGGTTCCTGCCAGGATCCCTTGCTCATCTCCTTCTGTGAGTCTCATCACCAACCACCAGTGTGCCATTCTCCCCGGGATGATGGACAGCTTAGGTTTAAGTCTTCTGATGTGCAGCAAGAATATACAAAGAAAACTGTTCTAACCAATATATTGTTTAATAGTAAAATCTGGTTCATTTGTAGAGTTCTAAGGGTTTTCAGATGCTGCTGTTACGGTTAAGCTACAGGCAATTTACCCAAGGAATGTGATGTTGAAATGTTTCAGAATACACTTCCGCTTGAAAATTACAGGCAATAAAATGTACCAGCTTTCTCCTTTTTTCTTCATTAATGAACTGAGGAACATAAAAGTTCAATTAAAAATGAAGACTCATGTATCACTTGGTTCTTTTTAGTCCTTTTAATTTAATAAAACATTGGTGTTGAGGTGTCGGGAAACAGAAAGCGATTGCCCTGTTTCTGGCTCAGCATTCGCATTTGGCTAACTCACAAATCCAGAGCTGTGGGGAGGGTCTTTTCCCTACCTCAGTCAGCACCTAGAATACCCGCAGGCGGGGTCAGGTGTCAGAGGCTCCGGGAAGAACAGACAGGGTGAGACAGCCCTGGGGAAAGGGAGGGGCACGGAGGAAGCTCTGAGGGCAGGGCCAAGACATCAGGTTTACTGCTGAGCTGAGTCTAGAACAGAGTGAGGGAGGAGGGACTCCATAATTGGCTGTCGAATAAGTGTAATCCCAAGAAGAAAACTGGGTGGGAGTGTGAAGATAAATATTAGCAACAACGAGGCAAAGCAAGCAAAGATCCTTTCACAGCCGGGACAAGCTCATTCACCAGAAACCATGAAATGGAACCTGCCCCCACACCCCGCGAGACCATGGCCTCGTGCCTGTCCTCAGAGTGCCCTTTGAGCACTACCTATCTCAGTCAAGAGGCAAGCCTTGCCTTTGACCACATCCTAGTCTTTTTTCCCTTCTGTTTCTTCTGGAAGGTCATGTGGTCCTGTAGGTCCTAGCTTTTATAACCACATTCCTTAGATCCAAACCACGCTAAGTTTAAAGAATGAAGACATGAATGAAGAAATGCAACAAGAAGCAGTGGGAAGGTGTACCAGCTGGCGGGCATCAGGTGGGTCTCACCACTCGCCCTTGGTGAAGCCCAGCCCGAGGCCACGGCCGGCAGCTGCACTTCTTGGGAGAAGATCTGAGCCCTGCTGGGGTCACCACATGCAACATGGCTCCTCCCAAGGGCAGGGCAAGACCTTCAGATGGAAACACATGCATTTCCACACCAGCTAATACCTATGGGGCCTCTGTGTTGTAGAGTATTGCATATTGCAGATGTCCAAAAGTACACAAAGTTTCAACTTTATAAATCACATGCAGTGATGCTCTCCTGATTCAGAGAAAATATGCAAGAGCCAGCAATGTAACATTGCATTCCCAAAGCAAGCAGCGAGAAAGCAGGAAGCAAAGTTTTGCACCTCATAATCATTGTAATCTACAGAACACATTCCCTCCACTCTAGAGACCTGAAAATACGTTTTAAAATTATCTCATTGGTTTAAATTATTACTTTTAAATTACTTTATTAGTTACTTCTGTGGCCATCCAAATAAGTCAGATTTCACTTGGAATAAATCAGTGGTTCACCTAAGGGCAATCTCTGACTTAAATATTTCCCTCTATTAATCAATAACTTCCTTTTCCCAATATGCTTTCCCATCAGGGAAATCGATGTCTCTGGATAACTATGTAGACACAAACGTGTCAGAGCACATCAGGCTGAGAACACAGAGGGAAATGCATTTGGAGCCTTTCGTGTCCAGGGCCTCACTCCGCCACTGTGACGCCGGTGGCTGATTCTCCTCCGACCACGTGAGTCAGCGTGCACCTGGCGGGTGAGGCTGGGCAGCCTAGGGAGGAGCAGCCAGTGAGAGGTCCTTGGGGTGTTGTGCAGCTGTGGTCCCTAAGGTCCCGACCCCCAGACAGGCCCACAGCAGCCACAGCACTTCCCTTTCCCTCTGCAGGACCCAGAGCTCACAAGGCAGCAGCACGGGGCTACCCTGCAAAGCTCATCTTGGACTCTACCCAGCCACGCTCCTGTAGGAACCCAAGAGAACTGGAGGTGTCTATAAGGTGTTGTCATCTAGACGTAGCTGGGGACAGAGAACAGGTAACAGGGCCCAAGGTCCCCAGTGAGGTAGGAGGCGGTACTTGACTCTGGAGGTGGGGTTTAGACACCGGACTAAATCGAGAACGAGCTAACACGGGGACAGGGGTCCGGGACATGGTCCATCGGTGTGCCATGTCTGTTTACTATTGCTATGGAAACATCCAAGCATTACTGCCCCTTTCCATAGCAACGACCCCATGACCCAAAGTTACTGCCTTTTTCCTAGAAATTTCTGCATAAGCTGCCCCTTAGTCTGCATGTAATTAAAAGTGGGTATAAATGTGACTGCAGGCCTGCACTGAGCTGCTACTCTCTGCCTGGGGGGTGGCTCTGCTCTGCAGGAGCAGTCACAGAGCTGTAAAGCTGCTGCTTCAACACAGCTGTTTTCTTCCACCCTACCACCTGCTCGCTCTTGAATTCTCTCCTGGGTAAAGCCAAGGCCCTTCTAAGGCTAAGGCCTAATTTGAGGCTCGCCTGTCCTGCACCACCAGGAAAATCAGGGACCAATGGCAGGGTCTCTCTGGGTGCAGCCATCCTCAAGCCTTCGCCCTACTCTCTGCCCTCCTGCTCTGCCCCAGAGGCTCCAGGAATCCAGGCAGACTCCCTTGGATGCATCCACAGTCAGCTCCGTCCCCGGAAGCCTGGCCTCCAGCCCACATCGGCTTTACCCCCAAACAGCTTGATTTGTTTTCTAAGAGAAATTCTAAACCTACTTATTAATAAAATGCCCTTTCTGCTTCTTTCCCATCTATAATAAGAGGATGTCTTACATATCTGAAGAGCGACAAGACACCAGTGCCAGAGGAGGGGCTAAGGGAGGCTGTCCTTGCTTGAGAGCGTGCGGCACGGGGGGCCTCGGTGGCTGCGGGGGGCCCTTGCACGAGGTGGGGTATCGCTGTGCAACGGCGGCTCCAGAGCCCTGCAAGGGCCAACTTGCTTCCATGGAAGTCCCCACCCAGTGGGTGGCGCCCAGCACTGCAGAAGCTCAGACAGTACCCGATGGAGCGCGGGGCAGGTGTGCCGGCTGCCGGACAGAGGTCGCGGAAGGCAATGGTTAAAGCCATCTGTTGGCCACTTCTATCCCTGTTCATCCCACTTGTCCTCCCTCAGACACTTGGACTAGAGTCAAAGGATCCCAGATGTCTGACTTTCTTTCTGCCCTAGGTTCATAGGGGAAAGCTGATGGATTCGTAGGCCACGCATCTTCGAGAGCTGTGGGAGTACAGTTCATTCCCTAGGACGAGGAAGATCTCAGATTCCAATCCACAGGCACTCCCTGAGCCCCCGCCGCCTCCCAGCTCTTGTAAGAACCCTCCCCGTGCACCATCATGATAATGCTATGAGCATCACATTTCTCATGGCAAAGAGCCATGCAGGACTGAGGTTCAAGCTGGGTTGACGCGGGTGGATACCTGGTGCCCCTCCTCCCACCTCAGACTGTCTCCTACCACCGAGTGAGCCCGCAGACAATGCGGCATGGTGACAGACGATGGCCCCGTGCACCAGGGGGTGGGGACAGAGGGGAGGGGCTGTGAGGTCTTTACATTCACAGCCTTAGGTCTTGGGACTGATGAGAACAAATGACTGGGATCACCCAGGTGCTTTCCAGACACTACAGAAGGAGCGAGAATCTTATTTGACAGTGACACCCCAAAGAGATGGGAAGAGGTCGGGACAGCACTGACTGAAAGGCAGTCCTATGCGACAGAAGGCCGGCCCTGTGGAGTCCTGCCGCCAGGAACAGGGGTTAGTGTGGGTATCGGGCACCAGGCATGAGAATTTGTCACTGGGAACGAGGATGTGTGGAGACCCTACAAAGCAGCCAAACCTCTCCTATGGTGGGACCCTCTGGCCCAGGGTTATATCCATGTCACCTGGTGGCTCCTCAGCTCCTTTTGTGCAGGGAGGTGAAATGACCCAGAATGAACCCTGAAATCCAAGCAGCTTGGTGTGACCTTCTGAAACCTCTGATGCCAAACCAGCCTGTCCCAGATACACTGGAGCCAGCACGTATGCTTTGCGGCACAGGCCACATGTCACCTGCTGACAGGACCTGGCCCGTCAGTGCACCTGACCTGCAGCCTGTGTGGCTTAGCGTTCCTCCTCCCTCAGCCCAGAATCCCCGCCCCTCACTGGCCCACTTCTCTGCTCATGCTTCAGCCTCCTGGCTTCCTGTAGGAAGCTGCCTTGCTGCCCAGCCGAGCTGGGTCCGTGCCTGTATCTCCATGGTGTCTGCGTCACTGCTTTTAACTGTGCGGCGTTTTAAGGGCCTGTTTAGGAGCTACCTCCACCCCGCTAAGAGCGCTCACAGCAGCGCCCGTGGCAGGAGCTCTGTGCATGCTCAATGTATTAACATGTGCCAGTTACAGCAGGGCCACAAATGCAGGACATCACTACCATTTCCCTCACCCGGGGTTTGAAGGAGAAAGAACAGGACCCGAGTACAGGTGGGGAGGAACTGACTGGCCGCAGGGCAGAGGACAGCTCTGTCTGCACCCACTCTTCCTGCTACTGAGATAACCACAGGACGACAGAAGCCAACCCAGGGGTCTGCCCTGCCGTCTTGGATGCCCACGACTCTGCCTGGGCCATGGAGACGCAGGGCACAGACAGCGATGCCCCGGCGCTTAGGAGACTGAAGACGAAAGGACCATTATCGAGTGTCAGCCGTGCTGTGTCTATTCACTGCTGAAAGAACAGTGGCACCTCCCCGCCTGTGAACGTGGCCTGTTGCTGCTCCAGTGGGTGGGGAGACTAGCAGAAGCCGCCAAGATTTTACCCAGAAGCTAAAGAAAAGGAAGAGGTGGTTTTGGGGGAAAATTGTTGACTGAAGAATTCCAAAGATCTATATTTATTTTTCTATTAAGATGGTTTACTGAAGTATTTGAATGGCAGGAGTCTAGGCATTTTAATTTGCACAGATGTGGCTTGTTGACACTTTGATTTTCTGTACTCAAGAGCAAACAGAATGTTCAAACACATTTAAGTTGGGCACTTTTAAATAAGGCGAAGCATTGCATCGGCGGCTTGGGGTGGAGCGTTATCAGGATTCGCCTAATGCGTGTGCACAGAAATGCAAAATTGCCTTTCACCAGAACCAATCTCGGGTTATGTGTGGTCCAAAGAATGCTTCTAAGCCCCCTGCAGTAGGAGTGAGACCTGGAAGACACGGGCCGCGAGACAAAGGGCCCCAGACCACCACTGGAGAGCAGGTTCTGTTCACGGGAACGGGGTGGGAGGGGGCTGGCTTGGGAAGGAGGGGGCAGAGCTGGGCTGCTCTTCATGGCAGAGGGGAGGAGATGGAGTATTCAAAAGGCAGGAGGAGGGGACAGGGACGCGGACCTCAGGGTGGGGGTGTGTGTGTCTGGGATGGGGAATCCCTGACGGGTCTCTGGAGGTCGAAGGAGCTAGCAGGGCTTCCAGGCTCACGGTGGAGCAGCTGGGCACTCTTCCGCCTGCTCTGCCATCCTCCAAGGTCTCTGGGTGTCTCCCTTGCTCACTAAAGCTTGCATGTGGTGGATCTTTGGGGGGCACTTGAAAAAGACACAACCTCTCCTGCTAGGACACTGCACAGGTTCCCTGCCGGGGAACCTAGACGTCAGGTTCGCACTCATGTCCCACCCGCCCGGCCCCTCCGCTCAGCCCCCACCTTGCCAGGGTCGCATTCTTACCTCCAGCACCGCTGCAGAGAGAGCTGGCAATGGGCGGCTGGGTCCACAAGTCAGCACCGACGGCGGCTGGGTCCACAAGTCAGGACCGAGTGATTAACCAGCACCACGTGTGCCCCCAGCAACAAGCAGAACCATGGGGCAAAACGAAATCACTGGGTTTGGAGAAGGGGTGAGAACAAGGTGCCTAGGAGAGTGGCATACAGCATTGCTGTGAGGAGTGACATGACGCACAGGCAGGGGGAGGGAAGGTGGGAACAACGGGGTCAGCATGAGGCTGGCAACACACAGCATTGAAGTCTCAGTTGTGCTTAGGGGCTAGGACACGCCCGAGGTTAGCCAGACAACAGGAGCCCCACTTGGAGGCAGCCTGGGGGCCCTCTTTCCACGCCAGCACGCTCACATGGACCCATGTGAGGGGGCTGTCTCCTGTCTCAGTTTCTTTATCTGCAAAATGAGATTGTCATTGTGCTCCTAAGAATTACAAGGACTGAGTTATTACATGCTATGAAGTTAGGGGAACACCGATGTGATGAATAGCCTTAATGCAGAGCAAGAGATTGCAGCTGAGTGGAAATAATCCACCCGTGCCTCAGCACTAACTTTAACAACATCGGCGAAAACAAAGGAAATTCTTTAAGTCCGAGGGGGACCACCTGCCGAAGGCCAGCCCTGAGCAGGCCCTCCCCATTCGCCCAGGTGAGCACACTCTGGCGGCTCTGGGCCTGGAAGCTGTGCCAAAGCGCTCCCCCTACCAAAGCCCTCGCTTTCCCAGAGCTGGGCACCATGTTTCCACATGGATTTACACCGCTTCTCTACCCCTGCAGAGAAGACTGGTTCCCTGTCCTGAAAACAGAACTGGTGTCTGAAATGGACATGAAGGTGAACTAAAGGCCAGGGGCCGAGGATGATGGGAACATCCCGAGGCATTCCTACAGCGTTTCCGGAGCTCTCTGCAGGCAGGCTCCTGCCACAGATATGTATGCGTGGAGGCCTCCCAATGTGAAACAAGGAAAAGAGTAAACATGCCCACAGTGGAACACACAATATTTAATTGAATGAAAAAATAAGTAAGGATCCCAAGAAAACTGTGTTGGTTAAACTGAGCACGGCCAGTTCCGATTTGTAGAATCCCCAGGGGATCCCAGAATCCGCTCCTCCCTGCTGGATTTGTAGGTGTTGGACTCTGCTGGCCCTGTGGTCAGAGGCGATACCCTCCCAGGCAGGCCAGGGGGACTTCGTGGGACAGGCATGGGAGGCAGAGTGCAGGCATTTCAGACATCTGCTGGAAGCCCTGGGCATTTTAATGGATGTCCCCCTATTTCAAAGGCAAAAGTTCAGTGCCTCTGAACAAAACCATCCAACTGCAGCTGTGTGAAGACAGCACTGGCGGAAGCCGCTCCGTCCCACGGGGGTTCTGCTCTGCAAGGCTCTGTGCACGCACTGAGGACACCGTGACCAGAGAAAGCCACACCAAAGTTTTAACATTCAGCCCAAGGCTGAGTGGCAGGAAGCCAAGCTGGGCCCACCCACCTCACCAGGAGGCCCCCGTTCCTGCTGCTGTGGCCAAGGAGTCCACACTGCGTTCCCTCCCAAGGAGGTGGAAGAGCTGCATGGCCCCACAATCCTGCTGCATGGCTCCAGTCTGGGGATTGGGTGGGGGGCTCTGGGAGCCCTAGAGGGGCCTGTCTGGGGAATGACCAAGCTGGGAGTAGACAGAGGCGGGTGAAGATGTGAGGCTGCTTTGGGACCACGTCACAACCCATGAGTCTGACATGAGCAGCCAGGATTGGGGTGTTGGGGTGTTTTCTCCCATGGCTTTTTCACGTAAATCCACTGCTCTGGGAAGGGGTGTCAAGCTGTCCCTACACCCAGAGTGAGTCCTTGAGAGCGAACACTGAA